ATTTTAAGCATTTTTTCGGTAATTTTAAATAAGTTCACTGGACTGAGTTGATTCTTTAATAGCTTGTTCAATCAACACTTACATGATGATTTGAAGTGACTTTGAATTCGTTATTCACTTAGCTTGTATTATTAAAACTCGCATTCTTGATATCATTTGGCCTTGTTTATTGATAATAATGATAATGACATGACTTTTTTCGGGATTATTGTTTATTTGCGCCCTTGTAGTGTCATTTGCGGCCCGAGCGCGAATGACACTACGCGGGCGCAAATAAACAACATTCCCGAAAAAAGTCATGTTATTCCCTTATTAACGCGTTCATGTTTCAGGGAAATATAACTTTATATAGCCATCAAAACCATTGTTTCAGTTTCACTTTTTGCAGGAAAAGTAACATTTTGAAGACTGGTAATTGGCAAGGCTCTGAGAAGAACCCACTACAGAGGTCATTCTTGAAAGACAAAGTCCTACGCAGCTAATTTACGTCGGCAATGACATCACTATTCCTTTAAAGCATCCTTTCCACTAAAAAGAAGATTTCTGAAAACTAGCACATTTTATGTATGCGTACTACAACAACATCTTGCAATACATCGGCGATTGTCTTTGTGACGTCTGCTTAGAAGTTGCAAAACATTGGCGAAATATATTGGTTGTGAGTTCTGTTGAGAACTGGCAAAGCATTCTTATTGGTTGACTTGTGTAGTGATGTCTTTGTGACTTCTATAAAGATCTTGCAATACATCGGCGATTGTCTTTGTGATGTCTGTTAACATCTTGTAATACATCGGCAATTGTCTTTGTGACGTCTGCTTAGAAGTTGCAAAACGTCGGCGAATTATATTGGTTGTGAGTTTTGTTGAGAACTTGCAAAGCATCCTAATTGGTTGACTCGTGTGGTGACGTCTTTGTGACTTCTATAAAGATCTTGCGATACATCAGCAATTGCCTTTGTGGCGTCTGTTTAGTACTTGCAAAACAGCATCATTAGTTAAGTGGTGGTGGCGTCTTTGACTTCCGATAAAGTTCTAAAGAAAGTTATGTTGATGTTGAAAAATGCTGACGATGAAGTTAAGTTTGAGAGTTGGAAAGTGTTGACTTCCGTGTTCTTTTTGTTGCTTTATTACAGGTTTATCTTCGACTTAACCTTGGACAACCTTGAATGCGTGAATGAAAAGAAGTGACTGACGTTGAATCAATTCTATACTAAATTTGCTCCTGCTGATTACAGTATACTAAATATAAGGTAAGAAAGACATGAAGCATTTATTGTATTGTAACCGATTAAAAGCATGTCTTTTTGTAACGATATCAATGCAGGCATACTTATGACGGCTTTTTGTGTCTTTGCATTTGTTCTATTCTTAACAGATTCCGTTTTGGCTTCACTTTGTATAAACGTGCATGCTTGAAGCAGCGTTGTTCTTTTGTTAAACCAATTTGGAATTGAGTTTCTCGTACTATGGACAGTATATTGAATGTAAGTTGGGAAAGAAATATGAAGCATTATTCCTTGTATGACATTTGAACAGTGGAACCTCGATATAATGACCCTCTTATCAAAGACCTCGATATAACGAACGATTTTCTTTACCCCAGTAATACTAAAATGTATGGAAAAGAACCTCCACGAAGCTTTGTTACTTTTGCCATTTCCTTGGAACTTCGTGACATCTAGGTTACTTTGCATACCTTTGCTACGATGTTTTTTATTTTAAATTTACATTCACTAAAAGGGAACTAGCGCCCTAAACATGCTTAAAAATGAACTTATGTTTTAAGATCGGAATGTGATGTAGGCATACTCATGACTACTGCTTCTGTTTTTTTGTTTTGAAGCTTACTTATTTGGACGTTGAATAAACCATGGACCAAAGTTTCTTATACTGAGGACAGTATTTTGAATGTGAGGTAAGAAGGGTCAATTTGTGAGGCATGTATTGTAAAAGCTTTTAATAACTAGCGTCCGTAATGAAAGGCTCCTCTAAACCAGCTCATGGATGAATGGAATAAGTGTAGAAAAGAGAGTTCGACAACGGTAATACTACGTGAATTCAAGGTGATACAACGTGATACAATGGTGATAAAACATATCAGTTGAAAACTCCTATAATATCTTAGTAGCAGGAGACATGAAGTATTTAGACAGTCAAGCTTACGAAGGCTGTGTTCATTCTTAGTTCTAAGAGAAATGGTTCTCCTTCTTTGTTTTGACAGTTGTAAAATGTAAATCGTTACTACATTTACGTTCATGCATTTATTGCAACAAGATTGATTAACGGACGAGACAGGTCGGGCTCTTTGCGTCTTTTTTGCTTCTGGTTGATCAAATCAAATCGTCAGTTCATTAAAAGTAGATTTGTCCAAATGAAAATAACTGACAATAACCTTTCTAAAATGTATGGAAAACGTCACTTTGACACTTCAAGGTCCATTTTTTGGAGGTGGGTTCTTTGGCTTATTAGCTTTTCTCTGAACGAACTCCCATCATTAAGCCTCTATTACGCGATAGTTCTTTCATGTGACCATTCATCCAAATAACAATGACCCACGCTCAATTATTTCAAGTTCGTTTCAACAATTCAATACCCACCTTCCACAGTTGTCAGTGTTCTTTGCAAAACTCATCTTTAGCTGGCCACAAAACTTTTATTCACTCGTTGTTATTGGGCAAAAAAGGAAACATTTTTAGTGCTCACGGAAAGTATTTGTGATGCGTATAAGGCACTTTACACAAAAGGAATACTTAGTAGGGGAGGAAGGAGAAAAATATTTAATCCGAGATTGATGAATGATTTAATGCGAGTGAGTAAATGAGTGAGTGAGTGAGCACCTTGTTCAGTTTTATAAATTCCCACTATCATAACAAAGTCATGGAGATTAATGCTACAATCGAATGATAAGGAACGAAATTCCAGGTTCTAGAAGTCAAAGATTCAATCTATAACTCTTTAAAGATTAAACTGGTTCACTTTCCGTAATGCTTTAGTTGTAAATGAACTCTTGAAGGATGCCATTTGTTTTGATGTCATGACGCACTTGTTCCTCTCATTTAAATTAATATTTTGTCATGCTGTGCTTCTTGCTTCTTTTTAATAATTGATCTAATTAAGTTTTCTTAGCTCAACACTTGAAGTAAATACAATTGAACTTGTAATTCAACTTTAGCGGGTGTTAGAGGACACTACTATGGGACAGGAAATCCTTTCCGGGTTAGAAACAACGTACGAGAGGGGACAAGAAACTGATTTTGTTCGCAAAGAAAAAGAATGTTGGCAGAGTCGACAGCAAGTGCNCCGTAATGCTTTAGTTGTAAATGAACTCTTGAAGGATGCCATTTGTTTTGATGTCATGACGCACTTGTTCCTCTCATTTAAATTAATATTTTGTCATGCTGTGCTTCTTGCTTCTTTTTAATAATTGATCTAATTAAGTTTTCTTAGCTCAACACTTGAAGTAAATACAATTGAACTTGTAATTCAACTTTAGCGGGTGTTAGAGGACACTACTATGGGACAGGAAATCCTTTCCGGGTTAGAAACAACGTACGAGAGGGGACAAGAAACTGATTTTGTTCGCAAAGAAAAAGAATGTTGGCAGAGTCGACAGCAAGTGCAGGGAAGCTTTCTATACAGCGTCCTCCCTTCCCCCCCTCCCCTTGGAAACAATGTTGTTGTGTGTTCTAAAGCAACCCTGATCCTTAGACATTTGTAGGAAACAACTTTGACCTGGGGGGAGGGGGATTTCGTAGCGCAAATCAGTTGTTGTTGAAATAGTGTTGTTACGTACCATACTGTGCATGAAGGGGTACAAATTCTCAAGTAGTTTTGTCCGGGATTGTGTTTGACAGAAGTTGTGCATTTGCCGCATATACTTGAGGAAATTCATCAGGCTAGTAAAAATAATATCGATTTAAGTGTTCTCAAAACATTGCCAGTCTTAACGTCCTAATGATGCTGACAGTTTCCATGACTATCAGCCATCTTTATCAAAACAGACCACGTCTGTCAGAACAATCATATTATGAATTGGAAAGCAAGTGAAATAGTTGAGCAAGAAAGCGACAAGTTTAATCGATGGATCAAGGAAAGCATATGTGTTAGATTGAACACTCCTACTATGAACAGGGACGAGGGAGCCTATCAGCTTTCTCCCATATGGACACAAGTGATCTGCACCCCCAAGCCAGGGGGGAGGGGGTGTCTACAGAGTGACTTTGCGCATTTATCGCAATTGTTGAGAACTTTGCCCCGTTCACTAGGGTTTTCAGATCAACAAAAACTACACAAAGACAATTAGTAGAGTCGATTGTATTTAATCACTTGGCTCACTTGTATTCACTCGTTACAGCAGTTGTGCAACAGCTACTCTGTCAAACATGGAAAAGAACGCTCAATTTCATACTAGTATACATTAGATATGATTGGTTGTTACTAGGCGATAATCAGAAAAAGGTCAATCAATTCGTGCAGCTAAAGTGTTCATTGTCTCATAAAATCCAGCCCTAATTTAAAGATCCGTGATAATAATGCATTTGCTCTTATGTTGAAAAAAAAAGTGCATTACACTGTATGTTGGTTTGTCATTAATGTTATCACCAGTGCTAAGCACCCGTAATTGACTTTTCATAACGTTTCTCTATTTTTTTGATAGGGGCTTTGGATCTTCTCCTGAGAAAGCACCCTTCCGAGATGCCTACAGCAAAAAAAGCAATGTGAGGGTTTCACAAGAGCACCTTTACTGTGCTTAACTGCAACAGCAGTAAAAGAAACAAGAAAGCAAATTATCAAGACTTTGTACATGAAAAATGTACTTTTCATTAGTAAGCCACCTGATAAAAACAATATAAAAATGTCAGTGCAAAAACTTTCTCAAGAAGAGGAGTTGGAAAAAACGTTTTCCTGGCTAAAAGAAGAACTCAAGACCCAAAAAACAGAACGCGCAAAACAATAATCTACTGTCAGCCAATAAATGCTTGTGGGGAATTATATTCCGTGATGGATAGTGTTCTTGATGGAGATGCCATCTCCAACATCGCCATGTTTCACAGTAAGACACTTGAGGCTTTGAAAACAAAGGTCTTAGATAATTTTGTTCCCATGGATGGCCCAGTGAGGGTAGTGGTTGCTACCACAGTCCTAGGAATGGGGGTAAATATCCCAAATGTGGAAAGGGTATGCCATTTTGGCATACCTGATACCGTGGAAGATTAGTTCAGGAAATCGGGCGGGCAGGACGAGATGGAAGAAAAAGCCATGGTATATTGTATTTTAAGTCCTACCATTTGGCGCATTGTGATGACAGCATGAAAGCATTCATCAAAAATCCAGAAACCAAATGCAGACCTGAGATGGTGGCGATGCACTTTAAAACAAAGCATACAAAAGTTTCCCCATTACATGACTGTTGTGACGTGTGTACTGAAAAGTGTGATTGTTCCCTGTCATCTTGCAAAGAAGGTCCTCACATGGCCCAACCTGCTATAACTGAATGCAATGCTCCAATGAGAACTGTAGAGGATGATGAAAGACATCTTTTGTGTGAAATTTTGCATGAATTGAAAGACTCCACAAATGCCTCTGGCTCAATATTTGGGTCGAACAATTTATTGGCACAGATAGATGACAATTTAATAAAAGAACTGGTGAACAGCTGTGAGTACATCTTCACTACTTCTTACCTGATGGAAAACTTTGCAATATTTAATAGTGACAGTGCCCAACAGATTCTCTCTGTGTTTGCGAATGTGTTTGGGGATATACGAGAGGTATAATTTGTAACAACTATGGAAATGTCAAAGTTTGAGGAGGATGATCCTCTTTATCTCAATCACTGTTACTCTGAAGATGAGGAGGAAATCGTTTCTGAAGACGAGATAAGTTATGATTTGGATTATTAACTTGAAGGTCATTTGACACTTATTGTAATAAGTCAAGATAAGCATCAATATTCAGTCTGTTGAATGACTGTCACATGCTTATGGAATCACCAACTTCCATCATTTGTAGCCTTGATGCAGGGCTCGAAAAAAATGTCTGTCATGTAGTCCCGGACATTTAGTTTTTTTCTTGCTGTGCAAGTATCATTCAAGGGTCCAGGCAAGTCAATCTCAAAACCATTAACAATCATGACTAAGAAGTGGCACCGGCGATCAAAATACAAAAGCTGCTTGCCCATATGACATGCTGGAATTCAATTTTTATTCGAGCCCTGCTTGATCCCTAGGTAGAGTATAACTTGTTTTTACAAGGGCGTTTGAAGAAGCAACCATTAAAAACAGGATGATCAATATAATGACAAGAACCGTTCATGAGAAATTTTAAAGTGGGGGTTAGAGGTGGGTGGTTTTTGAACAAAATTTTATTTTCCAGAGCCAAAACAAAGAAGAAAAAGATCTATATCCTTTGAGGGAAACCAGTTCCATAATACTTTTTTGAATATCAATTCCTTTTCATTTAGAAAAAAATTATTTTTGAAAAAATGAAAACACCCACCTCCTTCAAAAGTTGAATGGTTGGCCAAATTTCGCAAAACACAGGCAAACCATCAGTTGAGTTTCAACCATTCATCTCCTGGGGGTTGGAAGTGGGTGGTTTTAAAAATAATTTTTCCCTTTTCAGAGCAATAATAAAGATAAAATATATGGATATCCTTTGAGGGAAAATAGTAGAATACTACTTTTTGGCATATCAATTTCTGTCCACTCTGAAAAACTTACAAATTTGTAAAAAGAAAACACCCACCTCTTTCAAAAGTAGAATGGTTGGTCAATAAATTATGGTTGTAAATAATTAACATGTGCATCTAATAAACAGCCTGTTTAGGGACAGATCATTGGAAAAGTTATTAGGGTGGACAATTTTCAAGCCGCATGAATATTTTAGTTTACATTTCCCTTGTAAGATTCTTTTAAGGCCAGTGCAGGAATATTTTGTGGCCATTACTGAGAAACAGAGAGTTGTTTCCTTTGTCCATTAACAAGTTGAATAAGCATTTTCGTGGCTCTTGAAGTGTTTGGTGCAGGGGTGTCAGTCAAATCGGGATGATTTTCACACTACGTAACTCTCGTCTTCCTTTGTTATCTACTGCCAGATTAAATAATAATTACCATCATGTTTCCTGAAATTCACTTTCACTCGGTGTCGCTCTTCAAGATGATTTCGTATTTTCAGCCCCCATTGACCTGCATTTAAGGTAAATCCCTTGAAATTGTTCTACTATCAAACTTTTTTTCTTCAAATATGTTCTTTATTAGACTGTTCTTAGGAAATACTTGAAAAAAAATCGGGGGTCACCGTGCTTCTTTCCTCACAAACTGCCATGAAAGGGGAACAAGGATTTGGTATCGCTGTCTCGATGGAGAATTTGCGTGGTGGGGACTGGGACGAGACACAAAATGGCGCCCATCGTGTTTGAAGCATGCACTCTAGATCAAGCTTGTTTACGGTTGTTTTTATGTGTTGATATCGTCAACACAGACAATCATACTTGGAAAGAATGCAAAAATAACAAAGAATGAGGGAAGTCCAGGTTTGATGAGATTTTGAAGTTGTGAACCTTAAGTTGTAAACTATTTTGTAGCGCTGGCGTTCTGTTAATTACAGTGAACGAGGGTTCGATTTTCTTTGCTTTTGTGCAATAAAGGCTTGACAAAGAAACTTCAAGAAAAGACTGTTGATTCCTATTCTTTATATGTTTTCTTTTTTGGTTTGTATTCACAGCAAAATGTGAATTCTTCACCCATCACTCTAACAGGAGTGATGTACACTCTAAAACCTGTATTTTTCAATTAAGGAGAAGCTGCTTAATTCAAAGAAGCTTTTTTCTTATTTTAAGAAAGCGGAATTTATTTTAAGTGGTGAGTTTTGGATTCAAGTATTTACTATCTTAAATTGAGAGCACTCATAAGCATATCATAATCTTAAAATCAAATTTTAAAACAAGAATTTAGATTCTCATCTTAAGAGATGACAAAACACGTTTCTTAAATTAAGGATTTACTCGAACTTACCAATATTCGCGTTGAGCATTGATCGTTTCTGCCTTAATTTTTTTCTATATACCTGGCCTGTGAGCAGGGCTATTTACAAGAGCACTTGGCCGAATTCGGGAAAATTATGCCCTCACGAGGGTAGTAGCCTGGTCACTAGCAGGAATGCATGACGTAACCCATAAATGAAAGATTAATAATAACGTCAGTATTTTTCCTTGACAGGTACCTCCAAGAAAGAAGGAAAATAAAGACTAAATAGTTTTCAACAAATTCTTCACTCCAAGAAATAACCACATTAATGAGATTTGAACTCCGCCTACTCCACACTTCTCTTGAGACCCTTGAAAAAATGAAAATAACGAATTGGACAAGAATACATTGAGCCCTTTCTCATATAATTTCCTGAGTTGTGATGTTAATAGAATTAAAAAAGCAGTGATGCGTTTAGAAGTACCAACCACGAAGGGCATGAGTAAAACCATGAAAAGATATTAAACTGACTCTGATAATTTGTATGATTCGTCTGTTTGTTGTTGATGTTTTAGAAATGGTTAGGTTTCCTCTGAGATTACCGGGTTTAAATCCCCAGGGGGATAGTCCCCTGTAAAAACGACGGGGGTGCTCGTTGGAAAATTTCGAGAACACCCCTAAAAGGTATCAGAATCTTTTTTCATGGATGTGTCCCAAATTCATTTCTACCCCTAAGAGGTACCAATTTAACAACAACAAATTATATTACTGGCACTGCAAATTTTAATAGTAATAAAGATAACTTTCGAACACTTTCTTCTCAATGACTTTTTGAAAGTATTGTCATAAATCTTTATCTCGCAGCAGTCATTTTAGGTATAAGCACCCAAAGCGGGACCAATCCACAGATTTAAACCCCTATAAAGGTACGAGGAGCACCCCCGTCACTTTTATGGGAAAGTGCCCTCCCAGGTTTAAATATAGTCAAAAACGAGCAGTTTCTACCGTGGACAAACATGTAAGACTGTGTGTGGGAAACGTTTAACGTGTTATATTTATTCTTAATCGAATTTTACATGTGTAACCTCTCACAACAAAAACTGGGGCAGATCCAGAGGTGGTTTGTTGGAACCCCCAAAACCAAAATGACAAACTATTAAGCACAAGCGGTTTCTGCCGAAAAACTTTGGTGGACATACTTAGCTAACAATTATATGTTATCTTTTGAAAAAACGACTGTGATGAAAAGACAAAAACATTGACAGAGGAGAGTCCTTTCCTGGTTTTATACGTCCTGTTGATCCCATTTTTGAAGAAACCAAAGCCCATTTCCTAGGACACATGGGAAATACAACCGTTACTTCAGATGATTTATATTCGTTACTGGTCTTGATTATTGCAATTTCTCAAGAGAACTCCATGTTTAAAATAGCTAAAAAGAGGAAATTTCAAAGGCAGATAATCTACAATTATCCTTGAAAACGCTTGAAATCACCTCTCCATTGACCCAAATTTTAAATTTTTTCCCGGGGAGCATGCCTCCTGACCCTGGCCCCCTAGGATGGGCCACCTTCAGCGGATATTTATCCGAACCTCCCTCCACAAACTTTTGGGTCCGCCCCAGAAAAGGTTTCATGTTTGTACACATGAACATAAGTAACAAGGCCGGTTAATGTTAATGTTCACTACCATGTTCCTGTTCAGCATTTCCCACGAAGGTAATAGGGAAATCAGTGTTTCTGTTCTCCATTGTGCATAACTTGTTCACGGCACTTGAGGATCACCAATCTTGTAAAGCAATGTTCTCTTGGCAGAAGTACAGGAAATTTGGTATCATAGAGTAACGACGACAGACCTATTCTTCCTTGACATCTGACTACACCTTCACTGTCCTGATAAAGTCCCAGAGTCGACTTCATTTGCTGGTACTTGTCACTGTTCAGGATACCCTTTTGAACGTGTTAAATCCACTTCTTCTCAGCTTACTTGTACACTTGCAAGGATTCTTCTTGGTCAGTTGATCCGTCCCTTCTTCTTTTCAATTTTTTGACAAATAGCAACACAAGTGAAGTAACTCTTATGAGCTTCGTAAGGGAACTGTAGGATTCAGGATTGATGATACTCTCCAGATTTGCTTCTTGTTTTTCGGTACACGTGTTCAATAAGCTGGAGACTGTAGGTTTGGCTGATTTCAGTTCGCACAACTCTTCCTTGGCTTGTACATTTACAGGCTGGACTGGCCAGTAGGCACTTTCCTTAGACAGGAATTCTGGACCATGTAACCACAAACTACTTTCTTTGAGTGCAGTGGCCTTGATCCTCTTGATGCAATGTCAGCCGGGTTTTCTGACGTAGGACAATACCTCCATTGCTCAGGCGGTGCATTTCGTCTGATTTCGCTCACGCGATTCTCCACAAATTGCTTGTATTCCTTATCAGTGTTCCTAATCCACCACAAACAAATCATAGAATCCGTCCAATTGACTACGTCATCAACTCTCACAACGTTTTCTAAAGCTTGACTCACACTCTTCACCAATCTTGACGCAGTAAGGTTAGACAACAGTTCTAGACGCGGTATGGTTTGCTTATCCAACGGAGCTACTCGGGTTTTTGACGCCACAATCTCACATTCTACTCTTGACTCATATTCTACTCTCATGTAAACAACGGCTCCGTACGCCTTTTCCGACGCATCTGCAAAACAATGAAGTTGGAGCGATTTAACTTCATTCCCACCGAGACCTTCAGCATAACACCTTTTAAAACTCACTCTTCCAGCTAGTCTTAGGTCTGACAAAGTTGACAACCACTCTTGGTTGAGTTCGGTATCCACTAACTCGTCCCAGTCCCTTTGTGCCTTGCACAGTTTTTGAAACATAATCTTGAAGGGTAGAATAACTGGAGATATTAACCCCAAGGGATCAAAGAATCTCGTAGCAGTACTGAGAATCAGTCTTCTTGTAGCTGGCTGAACGTCCACACCCTCCAATATCTTAGTCAAGTCATAGATCAGTTCATCTTGGTTAGGGTTCCAAAGCATTCCCAAGACCTTCTGCTCTTTCTCAGTACCTTGCTTAAAAACTGACTTTGAGAAGCTCTCATCTTCCTCTTGAACACATTCTTTACTGTTTATAGCAAAGTCTCCACTGAAGGCTGAATCTTGTTTCAGTGATTGCAAAAGACTTGCTGAGTTGCTGTTCCACTTCCTCATATTGAACCCTCCTGATTTGAGACAGAGTTTTATCTCCTTCGACAAAGAAAAGGCATTGTTCACATCCTTGGCCCCAGAAACGAAGTCATCTACATACAAAGACTTCAAAAGCTCAAGTGCAAATGCATTGTCATTCAGCATACATGTATTAACATGGTGTCTGATAGTAGCATTGAGAATGAAGGGGCTAGCATTCACTCCAAATACAACTCTTGTAAAGCGAAGTAACTTAATCTCAGGTGATTCCTTATCGACATCATCTACCCATAGAAAGCGTAAAAAGTCTCTGTGTTCTGGATCAATCTCAATATTCAAAAATGCTTTCTCAATATCAGCAGTTACAGCAACTTCATGAACTCTAAATCTCAGCAAAATGTCCAGTAGAAGAGGATTTAATGAAGGTCCGACATGCAGACAGTCATTTAAGCTTGGTCCAAACACCTTGGATGAGGCATCGTATACAACTCTAACCTTTGTTGTATCTCTGTCAAGTCTCACAACTCCCCTGTGTGGGAGATAGTGCACATTTCCAGGTTCTAGGACTTGATCTTGCCGCACTTCTTCAACTACTCCACTTTCTAATTGCTCCTTAATCACTTGATCATATTGTTCCAGTATTTCTGGTTGGGTCTTAAGCTTCTTAATCACAGTTGCCAACCTTCGTGATGCATTTGTATAATTATCTGACAGCATAGGGTGATTATCCTTGAATGGTAGCTTGACTTGGTATCTTTCACCAGTGAATCTTATCTCATTTGAAAACTTGTCATGAACTGAAGTTTCAGTGTCCCTTATGCCTAAGGTTTCCAAGTCCCAAAATTTCTGCAAATCATCTTGCACATGGCTGATGTCAGCTGACTCAATTTTCAAAACATGTGTAGCACTTAGGTTAACTGTGCATGACTCTGTCAATGCTGGAACTGCAGCTGGTCCTGACAGTACCCATCCCAACTTGGTCTCAAGAGCTACAGGTCCAGAAGGATCTCCCTTGATTATTCCTCCAGTAAAGAAAGACCAGTAGTGATCTGCTCCTATTAGTAAGTCAACACTAACTGTTCCATTAACAGCTCCACATGCAAGCTGTAGCCCTTGAAGGTATGGATAGCATTCTACTGCACTTTGAATTTCTTGGTTCGATACTGGACTGCATATTACTGGTACAACGTAAGCAGTGACGTACACACTCATTGCATCTATTGTTCTGATGCACAATTGCACAATGTCACATTCCTTTACAGATGCTGAATTGTCACCAAATGTTTTGATTAGCAAGGTTTCCTTACCAACAGTAGGTAATTTTAACTGCTCACGTGTCTTACTGGTTATATAAGATCTCTGGCTACAAGAGTCAAAAATGACTTGAGTATACATTCCAGTTTCTTGATTATCTGGTCTAGAAACAAAGGCTTGGGCAGTCTGCAACAGTATAGAGTTATTATTGCTGCCAACATGCATTGTTGATGTTCCAACATCTCTGGATCTCTCCTGGGAAGTTTCAGATCTACTAAGTGATGCTAATTCAGCTCCTGAACTACTAGGTTGGACAGGCTTCTTAGGGTTTTCACAGATAGTCACATGATGTCTAGCTCCACAATTAAAACATTTGGCCTTTGACTGACAACCTGGTGTAATATGCCCTGCTTTCAAGCAAACAAAACACCTGCCACTTCGTCTCAGTATAGTTCTTCTAGCCTTTGGTTCAGTAATGGTACTACAGGTGATGGACTTGTGATTTTTCTTGCAAAAGACACATTGCAGAGTACACTCTTCACTGCCCGCATAAAGTGCAGATGAGGAAAGGGGCTGTTTGAATCTTCCCTTATGCTGGTCAAATCTAGGGTTAGAATTGGTTGGACTACTTGTTTTCACTGCATTACACCTTTCTCTTGCCTCCAACTCAGATTTCAGTGCATTTAACAGGACATCAAGGTCCCAAGTTTCTTTACTACCAAACTTGCGACTGATGATTAATCTCAACTCAGAGGGAATTTTCTCCATTACAACTGGAACTAATAAATTTCCAAAGGACTCTGATTCGACGCCTAGTGCCTTCAAACTTCGAATGTTTATCTCAATCTTGTCATACAAATCACGGAGTTTCTTCGTTTCATGCACTGAACTGACTATTGGCAATTTCAACAAAGCGTCCATGTGGTTAGAAATCAACAGCTGTGGTTTACCAAATCTATCTCTAAGTATATCAATGGCAGTTTCGTAATTATCTTCGGTGAGAGGCAACCCAGTAATTGCAGATTCGGCTGCGCCTGTCACACAACTCTTCAAATAGGTGAATTTTTGGATTCTTGAAATGTCAGTGTTTCTGTTAACCGCAGATTCGAAAGTGTCCCAGAAACTCTGCCATTCCTCGTAGTTGCCTGAAAATGACTTTAGTTCTAGTTTAGGTAGCTTAACTTTCGCGCCCTCATTGCTTTTGACATTGTTATTAATTTGACTGAAGCTTGGTGAAGTTCCCACGTGTGCGCTATTTTTAGCATCCTCTAAACTCAAGTCAATTCTAGCCAAAATACGGTAAACTTTTGCACAAAACTCACCACAATCCTCGACTTATTTCTCAATGTCTCTCCCCTTACTGTTTTCCAGAATTGTTTCGTCCAGCTTTTGGATAGTTTCTAGCCTTTCATTGAGGGTGAATTTCAGTCCCATAAGTTTTTCCCTTGCTGAATCTTCCACGTGATCGGCAGTTTGCTCGACTAAAATCCTCGTCGCACCTTCCATTGTTTTCTCCACAAAAGCTCTGTGGGCATTTCTAATTCTCTTTGCTTTTTCGTTGTCTATTCTTTTCTTCTTGTACTGTAATCCTGTTCTTGACGATTAAGTGATTAAACTTGTTTCGCCGATCCGGCGACTGCGAAGGACCATGTAACCAAATGTTGTATATATAATGAGTTCTCTGTAGCTTTTATTTCTTCACTCCATTAAAGCATATTTCTTCACATGTTCATATTTTAGAATTCTGTACTCTGGTCTACACTTAAAGGATTCATCGACATCAATTCGCGTAAAAATTCGATGATCTACACTCAATCCACACTTGATCAGCTCCACGACTCGGAACGACTACACAGTTCTAAGACTCTCAACGAAAAGCTCAGTTTTCAGATCACGTGACGAGTTTTCCCGCCACAATGACGCAATAATTTCTAACAAGCCATTTGCACTTAGAGGTCATGTGACATCATTTTTATGAAAATGAAAGTTATATGATTTTGCCTTCGAAAAGTGATTAGTGGGTCATATCTTAAAAAAAATAATAGTGATTTGGTTTTTCAAACCCACACCGTTTTCTTAAAATGAGTAAGTTCTAGCTGATCACATGACCAAAATGTGATTTTTAAAATTATGACTGAATTACCTCTTTCAGGACACAAATTTTGCACTTAAACTTCAAGGAAAGTGTTGACAAAATGATGTAGTAACGTTTACAGCACATCTGTGCATAACTATCAAACGTTTAACAAGGTACAAGCAAAAAGTAGTTTTGGCCGCCATGTTGGAGGGCAACAGTATGCCCTCCAACATGGCGGCCAATACAAATCATACTACTTTGTTGAAAAATCAAAGTGCCATAAATTATCGCCCTTAAATGCGTTTCCTCTTAAATTTTGTGTGTAAGATCATTTTTACGTCCTATGTCAATTATTGGCATCAGCAAGATTCCAACTCATTGTTTAAAGGAAGCATTGATTACGCGACCTCTTAGTGAAAGTTGCCCATCAGACAATCTCGTATTCATTTGAGAAAAATAGGCGCTTAAGACATTACTTGAAGTCAAAATGTATTGTTTCAATGGGACATGCAG